GATTTTTAATAATTTGATGAGTGCATTGTTAGACGTGAGCGTTCCATTACGTGCAACAGTAAAAAAAGAAGTGGCGATCCAATTATTAGGCACGCGTTCATCTGTCTACACTACTAGAGATGGGAACAGTTTCACCCAACGCTCACTAAGTGCGGTTTACACTGTTTACACTGTCTGGAGGTCGACTATATCCTTTGAAAGCTAGCTCCAAGTAATGACTATCGTATTCTTAAACTGTGCCTACGCATTTTCAACTGGCACATCTGTTGCATGAGCTTGAACTAATGCCCCCTAGTTTGATGTCTGTTAATTGCTGTGAATAGACTTCTCACTCCTATAACTGATAGTCTCTTCATGATTTTGAAGGTTTATATCAAGTCTGCGCGGAGTCTGCTCCTTTAAAATGATAAAAACTGTAAGGCCTCTACTTTTTCTCATATTTTCTTCTCTTTTGCTTTCAAAATTTCGGTGGCTAATCTCTGAAATTTCCTCAGGCACGCGGCATCCCTCTGCGATATAGGTGACCAGGCCGGTGGACAATACCCCAGGTGTGATCTAGCTGAGAACACGAATCTCATTTTCGTTAAGGTTTGGATCCCATTCTTTTGCCCATCCAGCTACCTGCACTTGATCACGCTTCAGTTCATTTGTTCCCTTCGAAAACACCATCTTGACATCATCTGCGAAATTGTAACATGAAGACGTTTGAGTGCCAGGCAAGTCGTTTAAATACTTGTTACGGCCACCCTTTTGGACCTGTCTTAAACGCGCATCGTACAACCAAACAACTTCGTGATCCCGAAATACGTACGTTTCTTCATCGCAAACCCAACGATTAATCAAAACGTCCGACAACAATAGAACACAACGAACACCGATAAATAGTGGAATCACGTTCAATACGGTATCTGAAAGTGTACAATGATACAATAAATCTCTTATACATNTACTTGACCGTGATCCTCAGTAGGCGGGTCGTGAAATGATAAGCGAACAATTGGAGTGTTAGTGCTAAACGGAACGCAATCAGACGAGATTGGAAACCGTTTTGTTTCACAGGAATAATAATAAATGGTACAGATAAACAAAGGCCAGAATAAAAGAGAGAAGAAAGAATGCCAATCACAAAAGATTATTTTATTCATCAAAATGTTGTTTTCATAATCATCTACGGTGCTTAAGCTGCCGTAACAGTAGTCTTCATCTCTAGAAATGTTACAAGAGTACGAGGCTTAGCTCAATAGTCTCAGGTGTTAATGGTTTCCAAAAAACGGTCAGGCTAGTGAACGAGCGCGGCTTGGAGATTTTCATACTGTGACCATGAAGATTATTCATACAAGTGCGCGATAATAAATCAGCAACCGTCAGACTGGAAGAGCCAGCACAGCGGAACAATGTTCCCTCTCATTCCACGCGTTTCAGTGGGGTAAATATTTAGAATGGAAAGACTTGTTGGGTTATAGGCAGATGGCATTCCATGTACGAGCTTTGTCACTTTCCGTTGTACACGAACTAGAGCCATACCGTCGCTGATAAACCGGGAGTAATCGATGGTAGTAAATTTTAGCTTATAAAACTCCATAGAATCTTCACACAGTGTTTCCAGATAGCAAAACAATTAAAATAACCAAAATCCGTGTTTTCTTACAGTTGTTGAACACAAGACCTTCAAAAGAAAGCGAATGCTACTTGTTGTTTGACGGACTGCGTTACCTATTGCACTTCCAAGGCTTTAAATGAACGATGATGAAGGCCTACTCTCAGCAGCTACGAGCATCAAATTTGATTTCATGAAATATAATACTCTCGAAACTGTAACGCGGCATTTGAACAGACAGCGTTTATTTTTATCTCACTTTTGCTCTGTTTGCACACATACAAACCCGAATCATATCAAAGAAAACCAGGACGCGGTTACCATTCCCTACTGATTCTTCTCCTACGTCAATCACGTACATCTATGGTAATTGCTTATTGCATGACGATACATGTGTTCCGGTGACTTTGCCTTTTCGCTAAGATTACGTATCTCAGTGAGTGTGCTGAGCTGGCCCTTAATAACTCCCTGTGTTCCGTTAAAGAGGGCACCCGAGGTTTCCGCTACCCCTATATAGAACCAGCTACAACGGAGGAAATAATTCTGGACGCTAGATTGGCCGTGGGCTTTTCCTTTAATGTACAAAGTGAATTGAACTGAACTTCTTAAGATCTCCTAACCATTCACAATCCAGATTGGTCAAAGAATGTAGCAACTTCTTGACTTAGATGACGGGTCAGTCCATCGCAGACATGGTGACCAAATAATTTGTAATACTCCCAAATCCGAATGTTCTAATCCTTCTCTTTCTGAGTATATTTCAGATGAAAACCATTCAAATGGACTTTCCGAGAGTTCCGTTGAAAATCCTCCAAGGTCCGAGCGTTTGCGTTTCAAAGAGAGACTTGATTACAACAACCCCGAGCTTCATTCAAGCTGCGGTGGATGTGGTGATTGGGTATAAAATGAACATTCTTGTTTCATTACATTGTAGCGTGGTCGACTCTACGGTAAAAGCCGGATAATAGTAGACACTAACCGGACACCCTTACTTATCTACAATCTGAATGTAAGTTCACATTTTTACTTCAGTACCAACGCCGTGTGACGTTTCTTTTATACGATTGAAAACTGCTGTATCCTTCCGCGAGGGGAACTTTCACTTTTTCGCTTTCACTCCGTTTTGCTCGTTATCGCGCTCGTTGGTTCGCTCGCCCTCGTGCTTTAACGCAAACGTTCGTTAGCCGGTACCGGTACTTTCTCCGTGCCACGGTACCTCAATAAACGCCTACACCCACAAGTCTTCTGGTTTAACCAGCTGTAAGTTGGTTGTGCTGCGAGCTAAGGGGTTCCCGTTCTGAAGCGCGTCACGCTCGGTCGTAGTCGACGTTACTTCAATATGATCGATTGCTTTGTACAATTGCGGCGCGTAATACAATCCGAATTCGAATATTCTGGTGTTCTATTTCATACTGCGTACTAGTTCGGTTGGAGCTTAATTGCGCGGATTATTGCGATTCGATTCCTGATACTAAGTACAGACTACCACACTAAGCTCGAGAGTGTATGAAAGCAAAGAGCTTAGCGAGCGAAAGTGTAGCACTGAACTCACGCACCGATTAAAGTGAAGTTACTTCACCGCAGGTGACAGTGACTTAAATAAAGTTGAAAGACCTAGATGAAAAAGCGGTCTCAGGATATCGAAGATCCTGGCGGAATCTATGCTATACAGGAGAAGGACGCACGAGCGAAATGCTCCAAGCAACCAATGCCTGCAATCATGCGAAAGCATACATGCGAAACAGACAGACCAAAGATAGTGACAACTCTCGATCATATTACACTGTCGGTCTGAACCAATTACACATTAGACTTTTTTCATTTCAATATTCACTTTCTATTCTTCTTATATTAAATTCCTATATAAACGTACTAAGGCCACTTTTGAGTAACCAATCTATTTTTGCAAGTTTTGGCTAGGAGTGACTGGGAATCAGGTCTACGGTGTTCGATTTATCCTCTTTTTTCCACACGTTGAAAATAGCCTTAACGCTAACTGCGATCCTACATGCCAAACATCCACACAATGGGTATGGGTGGTTCCCGACCGTAGTTGCTCTTGAAAGCTAGACTTTCGGCGACCTCAACAACAACTCCCACTCCGTCAGGTTACGTATTCAGCGAGCACATGATGCAAGAACAAATATCTCAACAGAACATATATTGAAGCTAATCGACGTTTACGGCCTGCCGATAAGTCTTCTTACGGATCTCGAATAGCGCGCGACCTCCTAGTGTTTAGTTGCCCGAGGTAGACAAAAACACTCGTGGTGGTCGTAGACGTTTATTGGTGTATCGTGGTACTAGATAGTACCGAATACGTCCCGATGTGACGACTAAACAATGCAAGCAATAAATGCAGTAGCACAGTGAAAGCGTGTCACACGTATATATATATATTCTTGAGTAGAAAGCGTGCTCAGTAAAACAGGCAGTAAAGTAAAACACAAAGAAATATCACAGTTGGAGTCAGAGTTGTTTGTGAAGAAAGTTGAACGGAAAAAGTCCTCGTGGATTGCTCCTTTTCTTCGTACAATCATAGTCACAAAAATACCATTGAATGGCACTCTTCCGGGAACCATTGGCCATAGCAGCGGCACGCTCCCCCATAATGAAATGAATGAATAACTCCATGAGTTTGCGTATTGGCAGCTGAAACTTTTCGAAAACGTTCTGGAACGAATCGAGAATCTCCTTTTACACTGGTACACAAATCCATCACGCCTGCGTGCAAATTCCTGAATACGCATGATACGACCACAAGTACACGTGCGTTCCTTGGGCAACGAGCCACGGCCTTGCATATAATCTACGGAGGCCTTACATTGAAATTCGACCAAGATCCGATACATATTGGAACTGGCCGACATTGTCCCAAGGTCAAAAATTAAAAAAGGACGCCAAATCGCACTTTCTTACAAAAAACCTTATCGGAAAATGTTTGTTCTAAAAGTTTGTTTTAAATAATAACTTTTATTTAAAAATAATAGCCTCAAAAGAAGTCAAAAAAAAGAAAATAGCATATGCTGCGGGCGGGTAACGTGCGCCCATGACCAAAATATTAACTGGTTAAAACATTGCAATGAACAGGAAGGTTATAAACATAAAATGAGAAGCTAAATCAAACCAAATTAGCATTGTGAAAAATACCAGAGCTGACAGGTGAAGCAGGGGCTTTTTGGAGGAGATGAATGGGGTCCTAACAGAAAAATAGCACTTAAAATGCTATAATTCGCACTTGGAGCAGTAACCCATGCACTTATCGAAATCCACACAGTAAGAGTCCCACCCAACACTGGAACTCAGAATGAAATCAGAACGCAGCACTCAACAAGGAAATCTTTTTGTAATAAACGGAAGGCAGGAATGTATAGGTCCATCGTGTTTAACGACACAAACGAGTTCATTGTCTATGTATAATCACCACATCCGCGACAGCTTGAATGAAGCTCCAGTTTTCTGTAATCACCGTGGCCTTTGTTGGGCGAGCGAAGTCGACTGGCTGGAAATGCTTTAGTAACAATTCCTTCAATTCGTCGTACTTCAGTTGTATTGGTGACTCTAGGAATGCCAAATTTTTAATCAGTGCATAAGCTTCCTTTCTAACAGCAGTAAGAAACTGTGCAGTCTTCATCTCGGCATCCAGACTCTTGCAGGCGAGGCACCAAATCTCGAAAAGCTCCAAATAATCTTTCACATGACGTGAATTCGAATGATTATTAGGAATTTCTAAGTTGCAGGTATCCATAATGAAATAAAACTGGCCATGATACCAAGTATTATGATCTGCACTTGGTATCGAAATTCGAATCGCAATAAATCCGCGCAGTTAAGCTCTAACCGAACTCGTACGCAGTATAAAATACAACACTGGAATATTCGAAGTCGAATTATATTACGCGCGGCAATTGTACAAAGGCAATCGGTCGTGTAAAGAAACAAGAATGTTCAGTTTATACACAATCATCACATCCACCGCAGCTTGAATGAAGCTCGGGGTTGTTGTAATCAAGTCTCNAACTCTCGAAAAGTTCATTTGCATGGTAGAGTAATGCCCATCTTATTATAATTAGTTACCGAAAACACCTTTAATAAATAAACTACCGGAAGCTTGTATTCTTCCGTGTTGTCCAGTGTAATTTATTAGCACAGCTAACGAATCATGCAGCACCGTAGACATGGCGCGTTTTACTGTATATGACACGTCTTTCCCAACCATTTGCATCAGTTGTTTCGCCTAAGCACTCAGTAGATAACATAACTTGAACCTACAAATTTGTAATATGTATTTTGATTTGACAAATTTCGTTCCATTTCTTCCAGTTGCTCCACGTTGAATATACATTGAAGGAAAATGGCTGCACCTATCAAAACGTATTACGAATGAAATACATGTTCCACATTTAAATTACCCATAGATATTAAACACCAATTTCTGTGTTCACAGAGGCCTGCCTCGCCACAAACAGGACACTTAACTTGTTGGATCCGTTGNCCGTTGTTGTGATAAAATATCCAACGAGATATGGATAAAATTTTAAGAAACTGAATGAAATTAAGATTTTATGTAATTACTGATATGATTCTCGGAAAAAGATTGATAATAGAACCCAAAGCAATAACAACGAAATAAATGCATCAAAAATTTTTACCTACTATCCGATGGACATTAAGAAATAAGAACTTCTGCACAGCAGCAGCTAACGGCAACCCAGCACAAGATTAGAGTCACTCAGGCTATCATTTCCCGCCGTAAATTAAAACGAAAATCGGGGAAGTTTGTCTCCAAAAATACGGACACTTTGATTGATTTAAGAATGCAAATGAGTCTTCAAACTAAAAACAAATATTATGAATAGATTTTTAAGGTAAATTACTGTTTAGTAACAAATGTAGTTTATGCAGCTCATGATTAGATCTTTGTAGCCGATCGGTGCGCTACGTTGTGCTACCTGGGCTGGGGGTTCAAATGGCACATTATGAACTGGGTGATGTCGTACAGTAGACTTATGACCAATGAGAATAAGAATCGAAGATCACTAATGTCTAGTATTTGTTGAAGAATGGACCGCAGTAATCCATATGCTTTTGTTGCCACGACTCGGAAGATACTGGCCACAGAGTCCACTGTGTATGAGCCTTGTGTACGCAATCAGCACAGGATTTGGCAACACGATTCAGATCATGATTCAATTCAGGCCACCAATATGTAAGACGAGTAAGGGACTTCATCTTTTAAATATGAATATGATCGGAATGTAAGTCATCCAAAAAAGTAGTATGTATTTTCGTAGGCACAGTTTGATCGTTGTTAACACAAGACATCATTGAATGACACAGAAATCTTCTCATGACATTTGTAAAATTCCGAAAATCGATCAATTCAAAGTTGTATTGTGGGAATTCCTTACAAACTCACGCTTATTTTTCCTCATAGGGTGTTTACACATTTGAATCGTTTATCAGCAAACCAATGATGAAATGTCACATAGAGTTACCGTTGGGAGTTAACACATAATGTTGTCTTCAACTAATTTGAGTTTTTAATTGTGCAGGAATGTGAAATGTGTCAGGGTTTCATCAAGTCTCACTTGAAAGATTCAACATTTGGTGCACAAACGAAGTGAGAGGAAAGGGTGGTCCAAGTACAGCACACTGAGTGCAAAAGAATGCCACTGGCATTCCAGTCAACACTTTGAAATCAGTAACTCGAAACAATGTTTCCTAAGGTGTATGTTGGGCGACAATGTGGGCAGCGGCCAACATGGATGGTTTGGGTTCTGCAGTAATTGATACGTCAAAATCAAAGCTCCTTGAATTCGGCGCTGCTGAGCAGAATATAATCACAATGATCGTACTCTCTTTTCATAGGTGGGGTGATAATCTTTTGTGGACGCACCAGCATCTTGTGATCACGTTGTAATCATGGTCTCCAAGATTGAATGGCGTACTCTATGCACGGTCAAATGTACACTGATGGGAACAACACTGATTCAATTCGACCAAAGATTCACCTAAGAAAGCCGACATTCTTCAAAGCGGTACACGAAGCCCTGGAGTAATTGAGTGTGCAGTTTAAGTTCTCTTGGACAATTAAACCAAAGCCATTCTCACGTGAGGTATGTGATTTCCGAGGAACTACGAGAATCTACTCCTACGGCTTGGGGGTAGGACTTTGCATTTGGAAAAATTGAATTCAATATCGTTCTCTTTAGAACGTGGATAAACTGAGTTAAGTGCTTCTTGGAGTGATAGCGAGCACTTGGGTTCTGCTAGTGCATTCCAGATTTTGGTGTCGTCCACAGACAGTATAGTTTTTGGCCCCAAAACATTCGGTAGATCATTTATGAATGAGAACAAAAGTCTGAGACCCTCGTAGAACACCGCGGTTGACATTGATGGAACCGGATGGGAATCCAGAAACACGAACTGATATGGTCGAATCTAATCAAGCACGAAACTTCGAATGGCAAACTTTGAGAGCTTCTGTAACAAAATTTAATGGTTTACCTAATAAAATGCTTTTGAGCAGTCCAGAAAAATCACATCTACCACACCTCCTACGTCGACTGTTCTAGATCATTCTGCTCAAACAAACAGCAAGTTGGTGGAACAGGATCGCTTCTGCCTGAACCCATGTTGAGCCGTTTAAATAATGTATCTTTCTAAGTGTTCCATCAGGAAATCTGCCACACTGACTCCATGACTTTTTATAACACTCGTAGTATGGTTAGAGGACGGGAGTTATCAGCGTCACTAGCACAACCACTTTTGTACATGGGTGAAATAACTGCTTCTTTCCTCTATTGTGGGAGTGCTTTTTGATCAAACATTCGTTGGAACAGAATGGCTAGTGCTTCGGATGTGTGTGATTCACCAGGAGGATAAGGGATTTCGAGTGCATGTTGTCCTCACCTGGGGTTGCATTTTGCCGCAAAGCCATTAGTTTTGCAATAACATTTTCGGCAGTAAATGTTACGTTGTTCAGCGAAGGATATGGGAGATGTGCAAACGGCGAGGGCGCTGTGGAACTTCATCACGTGGTGCAGCACAAACTTTGAAATATTGGGTTTTCAGCATTTCAGCTTCTTCCGTCGGAGTGGCTGCAACTCACCCAGTGTAGCTTAGTGTCGGTATACCAACTTAACTTTCCGAATTGAGTTAACGCGCTTGCACAACAACTTAGGGTTAGAGATAAATCCTTGTGCTAGCTGCTCTTGGCACATCAGTTTGTTTTCGTAAATCAGTCTGGTGCAGTGATTTCTCAGCATATGATAATTATTCCAAGTGACGACTTCTGGAAGACGTTTATAATCTCGTCAGGACAGGTCCTTCATAAATGTCCAGCTGCTCGAGCGGCTCCGAATAGGTGGATTTTTGATGTTAGATTTGGTGATTACCCTAGTCTCAGTCACTGATGTTAGTAGGTTGTATGACTATCAATAAATTTCTGCCAGGAGACCAACGGATTAGGTTCTTCGTCTTAGGAAACCCACAGCGTAGAGAGCACCAAGTTTTGCAACCGTGTATGATCTATGGGTCTGTGCATGTTAGCTAGAGAACTTTATTGAATAGAAATGTAACAAATATATTTGGAAGCAAGTACTGCATGATCACTGCGTCCTAGGGGGAGTTACATTGCTATATTTTACCATCAGCTCTTCTTTTGTCAACACTAAATCCAGTATTGATGACGACTGCGGGTTTCCAAACCTGATGGCCTCTTTCATGTGGTTTCTAAAGTGGATGCGAATCAGCCAGCTGTTTGAACTGATGTTCGAATAATGGATGAACGATCGTTGACTCACTGAGATTGGGGCAGTTGCAATCACCCAACAAGAGAACATGAGTACATCTATGTGAAATAATGTGAGATCTAGTAGGCAAAAGAGTTTTGTTGATTGTCTACGAGGATGATATGGGACAATGGACTGTGCCAATCAACCATTCCTCGTTTTCGGTCAGTTGTGACTTACACCAAAGTTCAAGTCAAAAATCGCTTTATTCATCCTAATGGATGGATTCTCAGCTTCTTGCACACCAGGATCATTTATCATTGCATACAGTCACAAAGAAAATGTAAAATACAACATCATAAATTCTAGACGAATGTTGCGTAAAAGTTTGAAAACAGATAGCATTTGCGTAGGAAATTCAAAAAGTTTTATCTAACGGATGCCTTTTGAGCCAGAAATCTCGAAAGACAGGCGATGATGGACAAACGAGCATACACCAGTTTATAACGACATCTAGTAACAGAAGTAGATATGCATTGTTTAAGTTCTGTGTGTAATGGGTGAGTGGTGTCTGTTAATATATTCGTAAAAAAGTTTTCGCAAGAGATAAAATGTTTATCGGCGATAAAGTTAAGCAAATGCAAATAGATAATACCAATTGAGCACGAAATAAGTTTAATAGACCGGTGTAGAATTGTGTAATCTTTGACTCTAAGGCCGGAAAATAAAACTGGGGAGCGGTAGGGAAGGTGAGTAACAACACAAGAATATACAAATCGAGTGAGCAAATTCAGTAGAACTTTCAAAGATCGCAAGCGGGAAGTAAAGAAACACAATCGTCGAATCTTTTTGAAAGAAGAGTTTAAATGTGAAATCCAAGTAAGATCTTGGCAGATAGTAAAATCGAGGTATTGCAGAGAACGTACTGGGGGAACAAGCTGGTTGTCAACATAGAGTACAGGACCATTCCTTTCAAAAGAATGTAGCCGTTTTCCTTTGGCTAATGAGAAGG